GAAGCTTTTTGTCATCTCGAATTCAGAAGTTTATTTCTCAAACTTCTGTCCATAGTCTAAGCGACGTGGCTGGCACAATATTCCCAGACAACAGTGCCGTGCAAGGAAATATTTATTCTATTACTAACGTGTTTATGAGCAAAAATAGTTTTGCCGACCATGCTGTAGACATTGTTGCGCATTTGTTTACGTATTCAGATTGTCGTTTTGCTTGTCTTCTATCAGCGATTTGCGTGGACGTTCTCGCTGCTATGTGTGATATACGAATGTACAAAGTGCAATTAAAAACATAGACATCTGCATAAATATACACCATTAATTTAAACGCATTGAATATAAATAGATTAAACCGAAAGAATGGTCTGTACTTTGAAAATATCCCCACCCCACCTGCATACATGCTAGGCGTAGAGTTATAAGTTCATACTCTCTTAAATATTGAACATTGTAATACGTATGCGTACAATGCTTCCCAACTACATATTAGTACAACGTTTTATTAACACTGGTAAATATTTTTGCATTACCTTACTTTTCTCTCATTCCTTTCCAACCTACCAGTGAAAAAACTCACCTAAATAGCCCTAATATACAACCTTCATGAATTAACTTATTGAGTGGATGTTTCATCATGCAAAGCTTAGTGACAAATATATCAGGATTTCTCATGCTATATCCTATATACACAGTTTAGCGAAAGTTATTGGGATATAGCAACAATAGTAACAGGAATGTGAGTAGACGCATGGCATTTAAAGCTATCCACGCTTTACTACGTCTTTTTTGCTGACGACGGTGTTTCTTATACATGATATTGCTAATGATGATTACAAAGTACTTTTGACCTTCCTCTTATACCAACGCATGGCACAGCGTGCAGGCCCGTAGTTTTTTTGTTTTTTTTTGGGGGGGGGGGTTCAGGGGGTTCGCCCTAAATTTTGGGAGTGAATAGATTTATGATCGTAGATTAGCACATAATAAAACAAACAGTATTAATTAAAATAATTATCATTGTTTAAATCACTTGACTCCGTGAGGTAACTATCAGAATAATGTAATGAGTAATGCATAGTAATGAGCATTTAGGGGGCAACGAGCTTTAAATGTCAATCGTGTTATGCCGTCTCAGCTCAACAGCAGCCAACCCAAACAGGTTGTTATAAATAGGCAAGCTTTTATTCGGTTTTTCCGCGATGGTGTAATGAAGATCGCGTTCAAGCACCTGATGTTAAATATTAAAACAACATTGAAACAATAATGTAATGCTAGTCACTCTCTGAAGGATGTGGTGGTCCTGAATAGGGCACTTTGTCTTGTGCTAATGTTCGCTCAGTTAGTAAAGTGTGGGGATCGAACGGGATTGACACGACAACACCACACTGTACTTTCCTAGTTCGGTTCATTTGTTTTGTATTCTTCAAGTTAATGATGGCATATATACTGTTTTGTTCCAAGTGTATCAGCCAAATGTAGTTAACTTATTGTATTAGTATGTGTAGCCTATGTTATTAGACAATATTGTACAGCTACGGGTTGAACATATCATTAAAAAAATG